GTGAGTGTGATTCAACTGTGCTTGTTGAAATTTAATTTTTCCCCTCTTTTTAAATATTCCTCAAGGAAAGCTTTTTTTTAGTAGCTTGTCCCACCTTCCCTCAATCTCAACCAACCGCCTCCCTTCTTTCTGGCCCTCTCCCTCTCCCCCCTCACCTCCCTCAGTGCATGTCATTTATGCTGGATCATTAACTAGATGAAGAAGATAGAGCTGGTGGACCACGATTAGGTAAGTAAGTGGTGAAGAAACAAAAAAGACAAAAACAAAAGTTTAAGTGCGAGAGAAGTGGAATTTAGAAGATAAGAAAAAGCGTAGTAGTGAATCAAGAGGAGGAAAATTAGTTTAAGGAAAATAGGAGAAGATAAAAAAAGGTCAAGGGAATAGTCGGAGAAATAAGGAAGAGGAGCTGAAAGGAGTAGGAATGAAGAAAAGTGACAGGAAGAGAATATGTGAAAGGGCGAAAGAAAGGGTATTAATAGAGGAGTAAGTGGAGACAAGTCAAAATAATTAATAATAATAATAATTAAAGGGAGTGAGAAGGAGGGTGGTAATGTATGGAAGTCACCGGAAGTCATTAATGGAAAAGTAACCAGAAGGAAGGGAATGGGATAGTGAAGGGGGGGAGGGGGCGAGGGTTGGGAGAAAAAGAAAATAATTACTCTGGGCGCCTTGTTAATCCAACAGTAATGTAATTCTGTAGCATCAAAGTCACGGCGAACCAAAATTCCTGGTGCAACACACCGACAATTACACGACCTCGGGGGGCGATACGGGCTCATCACCCCTAGGTCTGGAGGGCGCATTTCCCCCTCTTTTACTATAAGGCTTTCAACCTTTTGGATAATTATCCTCCCCTAGTTCATACCCCAAGAACCTTTAGCATAGAAACCATCAACTTTACTTCGGTTTCCCCTTAAAAAAAAAGGAGTCAGTTTACATTAAAGTGGAGATTACGTGTATTTTGAATTTAGAATATCATCCGCTTCCCTCCCACTCCAAATCCTCTTTTATTATAGTGGCCTTTTCATCTGGGGTTATATTAAGGAGTCTTTCTATAAAAGACTGCCAGGGAAATATTCAAAGAAAATGGGTGTGGGTTTTTTATGAAGTTACAACCGTTTCAATTTCAAATACAGTTAACGGGTCTCTTTGAGACATCTGGGGCTCCTCCCTTTCCCTCTCTCTCTCTCTCTCTCTCTCTCTCTCTCTCTCTCTCTCTCTCTCTCTCTCTCTCCTCTCTCTCTCTCTCTCTCTCTCTCTCTCTCTCTCCCCCTCTCTACCTCTCTCTACTATTACTGCTGTTGCTGCTACTGTTTCTACTACTACTTCTGGTATATTTTCTACTACTATTACTACGAATCCTGTCAAGAGTGTACGTCCAGACTGTTGTGTGTCTCCAGTAGCACCAGGAACGATCATGTGCTATACACTGTTTGCTAAAGTATCTGATTCACAGACGCGTTCTCAAGTTCATATTTAAAACAGAACTGATGAACCTGTATGTCTGACGAAGCAGGGAGGATGTATCATTATTATAAATAATAAAGAATACCATCTAGTTTACGAGTAAGACGCATGTAGAACACAGGCTAAGCTTAAGCCATAGGAGTCATACAGTGCCTTGGGAATGGGCGGCAATTAGGTCGCGACTTTACAGTGGTTCATAACGGACCGAAAGGTCGTCATAAATTTTTTCTCCTAAGTCAGAGTTATTTTGGAATTGTTCCAGCCACGGTATTGTGGATTTTTATTTCTACCTTGATCCACAGGAGCGGACGACGGCTCCGGTTCCTTAGATCAAGAGCAGAGGGGGAAAACACAGCGAGAAGATAAGGAATGCTGTAGTATTTTGTGAGGTACATCCTCCATCCCCCCCTTCCCGGGGTTTAACCATTTTTCGGGATAATCGTGCAAATTTCAAGACTTCTTGGCTGCCAGGTATCTCTGCGTGTGGTGTACAGGGGGATGGAGTTACGAAACCAGCGAGACTGGACCTAGTATTCACCTTCAGTAGTGCAAATATTGAGGACATCACATATGAAAGACCCCTTAGGGCCAGCGATCATGTGGTTTTAAGATTCGAATACACAGTAGAGTTACAAGTGGAGGGGGAAGCAGGAAGAGCCGGACGAATGAAGCCAAACTACAAGAAGGGGGACTACGTGGGAATGAAGAACTTCCTGAACGCGGTTCAGTGGGGCAGAGAACTGGCAGGGAAGTCAGTAAACGGGATGATGGAATCCGTGACAACAATATGCAAGGAAGCTGGGGGTAGGTTTGCACCCAAGGGTAACAGGAATAATGAAAAAGCCAGGATGAGCCCGTGGGTAACCCAAAGGTGCAGGGAAGCCAAAACCAAGTGTGTTGGGAAGGCAAAGGACCCAGGAGAATAAAGAGAGCAGTCGTAGAGCCAGAAATGAATATGCACAGGTAAGATGGGAGGCCCAACGACAATATGAAAATGACATAGCAGCGAAAGCCAAATCTGGCCCGAAGCTGTTGTACAGCCACGGCAGGAGGAAAACAACAGTCAAGGACCAGGTAATCAGGCTAAGGAAGGAAGAGAGATCACAAGAAACGACCGAGAAGTATGTGAGGAACTCAACATGAGATTCAAAGAAGTGTTTGCAGAGGAGACAGAAGGGACTCCAGAAAGACGGAGAGGTGGGGTACACCACCAAGTGTTGGACACAATACATACAACCGAGGAAGAAGTGAAGAGGCTGCTGAGCGAGCTAGACACCTCAAAGGCGATGGGGCCGGATAACATCTCTCCATGGGTCCTGAGAGAGGGTGCAGAGGCGCCATGTGTACTCCTAACAATAATATTCAACACATCTATTGAAACATGGAGATTAACTGAGGCATTTAAGACAGCAAATGTAGTCCCAATTTTTAAAAAAGGAGACAGACAAGAAGCACTAAACTAGAGACCTTCTTCTTCTTATGACCAGAGCTTTGATAAGATGGGTAAAGAAGAAGGATGGGTAAGGATAGAAATATTGGAAAAGGGTGGGAGGGGGGAGAGAGGTAGGATATAAAAGGTAAGTGGCCCAACCACTTTGGTGTAATTTAAAAAGTATATGTGAAATGATAAGATATTCTTGAAGGGGTATAATACTATAGACCAATGTCACTGACGTGTATAGTATGCAGAGTCATGGAGAAGATTATCAGGAGAAAAGTAGTGGAACACCTAGAAAGAAATGAGCTTAACAACAGCCAACACGGTTTCAGGGACAGGAAATTCTGTGTCGCAAACCTACTGGAGTTCTATGACAGGGTGACAGCCGCAAGACAAGAGAGAGAGAGGGGTGGGTAGATTGCATTTCCTTGGACTGTAAGAAGGCGTTTGACACAGTTCCACACAAGAGATTAGTGCAAAAGTGTGGAGGACCAGCAGGGATAACAGGGAAGGCACTACAGTGGATCAGGGAATACCTGTCAGGAAGACAGCAGCGAGTCATGGTATGAGACGAGGTGTCAAAGTGGGCGCCTGTGACAAGTGGGGTTCCATAGGGGTCAGTCCTAGGACCGGTGCTGTTTCTGGTATTTGTGAACGACATGGCAGAAGGAATAGACTCCGAAGTTTCCCTGTTTGCAGATGATGTGAAGTTGATGAGAAGAATTCAGTCGGACGAGGACCAGGCAGAACTACAAAGGGATCTGGACAGGCTGCAGGCCTGGTCCAGCAATTGGCTCCTGGAGTTCAACCCCACCTAGTGCAAAGTCATGAAGATTGGGGAAGGGCAAAGAAAACCGCAGACGGAGTACAGTCTAGGGGGGCCAGAGACGAGAAACCTCACTCAAGGAAAAAGATCTTGGGGTGAGCATAACGCCAGGCACATCTCCTGAGGCGCACATCAATCCAATATCTGCTGCAGCATAAGGGCGCCTAGCAAACCTAAGAACAGCATTCCGCCATCTTAATAAGGAATCGTTCAGGACTCTGTACATTGTGTACGTTAGGCCCATATTGGAGTGTACGGAACCAGTTTGGAATCCACATCTAGCCAAGCACGTAAAGAAACTAGAGAAAGTGCAAAGGTTTGCAACAAGACTAGTCCCAGAGTTAAGGGGCATGTCCTACAAAGAAAGGTTAAGGGAAATCGACCTGACGATACTGGAGTACAGGAGAGATAGGGGGGACATGATAACGATATAAAATACTGAGAGAAATTGACAAGGTGGACAGAGAATGTTCCAGAGATGGGACACAGCAACAAGGGAAATTGAAGACACAGATGAATCACAGGGATGTTAGGAAGTATTTCTTCAGTCACAGAATAGTCAGGAATTGGAATAGTTTGGAAAGCGATGTAGTGGAGGCAGGATCCATTCATAGCTTTAAGCAGAGGTATGATATAGCTCATGGTGCAGAGAGAGTGACCCAGTAGCGGCCAGTGAAGAGGCGGGGCCAGGAGCTATGAATCGACCCCTGCAACCACAACTAGGTGAGTACACAGTGGCAGGTACATGTGTTACCACTGTACCACACAGTGGTAGGTACATACGTACATATGTTACCACTGTACCACACAGTAGCAGGTATATACGTTACCACTATGCCACGCAGTGGTAGGTACATATGTTACCACTGCACCACACAGTGGTAGGTACATATGTACCACTGTACCACACAGTGGCAGGTACATACGTTACCACTGTACCACACAGTGGTAGGTACATATGTTACAACTCTACCACACAGTGGCAGGTACATATGTTACCACTGTACCACACAGTGGCAGGTACATGTTACCACTGTACCACACAGTGGCAGGTACATACATTACCACTGTACCACACAGTGGCAGGTACATACATTATCACTGTACCACACAGTGGCAGGTACATACCTTACCACTGTACCACACAGTGGTAGGTACATACGTTACCACTGTACCACACAGTGGCAAAAATTGATCTAAATCTGACTAGAATAATAGTCTCGTTGGTTGTAGGATTTTTGTATTTTCAGAGGTTTCCGTGCCATAAGG